GTTCTGCACATGTACCCCAAAACCTAAAATGCAATTTAAAAAAAAGAAATACAGATGAAAACATTCAGAATAAAATTAATTAATTAATTAAAATAAAATAAAATATTTTGGTTTGGGAGGGAGTTGCAAGAAAAAAAATTAACTTTAATTTAAAAGTCAGAAAAGAAATAGGTCAGGAACACAAGATCCACAACGAGGAGCCCACCTTGCTGTCCCTGGGGGTCCTGTGCAGGCCACAAGCAGGGTGAAGGGGCCGACAGGTATTCTCGGCCCCCTGGGGCCTTGCTTTGGGGGTCTGGGTCCTTAGAGACACAGACGTGGAGCCACAGAGGGGACAGAGCAGGCTCTGCTACAGGGAGCCCTCTCCTCACAGAGACCCCCCAACAACCACACCCTCAGCTTCTGTGATTGGGTGCTGACCTCACAAGGGGGTCATATGATGCAAGCCTGACCAATCAGCGACTCCATCCCATTTCCAGTGATTGGTTCTGGGACAATCAGGTGACCCACCCCCTTGGCCAAAGAGTTGGGCAATGGGTCAGAGCCAGGACAGGAGGTGCCACAAAGTAGGGAGATGGGGTCACAAGGCCAAGCCAATGCAGATCAGCCGAGGCTGAGCGGAAACACCTGCCGCCTCCACTGAGCCTGGAGCCTGCCACCCCGATCCCCCACCTCTCAACTTCTACTTATGGGAGTTGAAGCTGATTTACTATTCTTTAAAAGCTTCCTCTCTATAATTGTGTCATTTGAAGAATATTACACAAACGGAAGCATTCAGCCTGAGGCATTTTGAGCCCAGCCTTTTGCACTCAGCATTCTTCTCTTGCGATCTGTCCAAGTGTCATGTCATCAGATGGGAGCCGTCCTGGTGCTCACAGCCAGGCAGAGCTGTTCTCATGGTGAACAGCCACACTTCACGGACTGCCTGTATCACAGAGAGCCATCTGTGACATGACGAAGCAAGACAAAAACAAGGACAACTCTGATCATATCAGATTACAGACAAAACACGAGCATGTTTCAAACCACACAACAATCAAGTTCCTTCTGAGAGACGGCTGCATCAGCAACCTTGCTCTGCTCTTCTTACCTTCCATCTGAGAATTGTTCAGGTGCCTCTGTTCGTCCATTTCCTGCTGCTAGAGCAGAATACCACAGACTGGGGCCAGGCATGGTGGCTCACAGCTGTAATCCCAGCACTTTGGGAGGCAGAGGCGGGCGGATCATTTGAGGTCAGGAGTTTGAGACCAGCCTGGCCAACATAGCAAAACCCCATCTCTACTTAAAAAAAAAAAAAAAAGCCAGGTTTGATGGCAGGTGCCTATAATTCCAGCTACTAGACAGGCCGAGGTGGAAAAATTGCTTGAACCTGGGAGGTGGAGGTTGCAGTGAGCTGAGATTATGCTATTGCACTCCAGCCTGAGTGACAGAGTGAGACTCTGTCTGCCCCCCCCCAAAAAAAAAAAAAAAAACAGGGAATACCACAGACTGGGAAATTTATAATAAACAGAAGCATACTGGCTCACGTTCTAGAGTCTGGGAAGTCCAATATCAAAGTGCTGGCATCTGGTGAGGACTTTCTTGCTTGTCATAACATGGCAGAGAGAGAGAGGAGGTAAACCACCGTAACAGCATGAATCCATTCGTGAGCTGAACACCTCCTAACAGCCCCACTTCCCAGTGCGATCACAATAGCAATCAAACTTCAACATGACGTTTTGAAGGGGCAAACGTTCACACCAGGGCAACGCTTAGCCACAGAAACACCTCCACCTCCGAACAGCATCTAACTGAGAAACTCCTCTTCCCTAAACCTCCCTGCAACTCACCTAACACAGGTCCAAGTTCGACACTAAGTCCTCTGATGCCCTCTTGCTGAGAAGTCCACCCTTCCCCAAGGTGTGTGTTCCCCCTCGCTGCAATACATCAATAAGCTGGGTTTCCGAAAATACACACCAAGAGGCTCTCCCACACGCACACTCTGCCTCCATCTCTCTTGGGAGCAGCAGGTAAGCGTCCAGGGAAGAGAGCCCACTAGCATGTGCCCCCTCTGTGTCTCTGGCCCCTGGGGTTCTGCGTCCTCATCCAGGCTCTCAGTGATCCAAGCAGCATCTGAGATGAATTCTCCTCACTGGCTTTTAGGGCATCCGGCACCCCTGGCCCCCAGGAAAGCACACGCTGATATCATGCCCTTCCTTGGAAATTCCTGTCTTTCCTTAGAGGTGATGCTCCTCCCAGCCTTCGCATCCTGTGAAGAATTCTTATATCTCAAGTTATCATTCTCTGAAGTGAAAATTTGTGGGTAGAGCAGGTTTTGCCGGCTCTGGATGTGTGTTTATCGAACCTTCTGGACTCGGGTTTTCCAAAATCCGCCACCTAGAATAAGAGGCAGGTCATGACTGGATCTCAGAGGCCAAACCCACAGTTAGTCCCAGCCCATCCGACTTGCCTCCTTCACACCAGACCACACTCAGACGTCCTCCCTCCATCTCCTACCTGTGAGCTGCCCTCTGCCTCCCCCAGGCACAAAGGACCACGGAGGAGGATTGTCTCACCTCCATCCTGGGTGAGTCTGTTGCCCCCCGGAGTTTGCCCCCTGGGTGAGTTTATAGAGCAGCCATTACAAATGCTAAGGTAATGTGGTATTTGTTATTTATTACACAAATAATAACCAGATGTGTTATTTGTGTCATGAATATTCGAAGTGGGTGTCTATGGGTGAAGTCGCTAGCTTATTACAGACCATTACAGGTCTTAGAAAAGCATTTCGGTTAGTGATGAGGGGACTTTCTAATACATTTGGGGCCCACCCCCACCCCTGAACGTACAGGTAGAGGAACCAGCAGGCCTGGTGGCCTGTGCCCACAGTCCCCACATAGCCCTCTGTTCAGCCTGCGGATCAGAGGATGCCTGCGCCTGGTGCTGACCAGGAAGTGAAGATCCCGCCCCTGGAATTTCCTTTTCCTTCCTCTAGTAAACCCTCCTGGCAGGGCGAAACTGGGTCAGGTTTAAAGAAGGAGAGCAGGATCTTCCCGGGCTTACAGAAGAGTTTCATATGGGCCATCCTGTGCTTGCCTCCTAATGAGGAGTTTAATAAATGTCTGTATATATGGCAGAATTGGTCCAGAGTTGCCTTATCACAGATTTGTATGCGAACATGTAGCTGTCACCACTTCGAATTTTCTGGATGTAACTACTCTCCGCCAGAAATAGTCTAACAGTTATCCAAGAACCGATTTATTCAGGTCCTTTACCAACTGTTCCACTCCAGGAGGCTTTCTACAAGGCTGTGGCCAGCGATTCAGCCCCCATCTACCGAGCAGGAGAAAACTGCATGTGGAGATGGGATTTCGTTGTCCCAGTGCAGGGAGCTTCTCAGAGACTCCTAAAGAGGTTTCTGGAGCTCAGGAAGGACAGATGGCAGATTTAGTCTCGAGTGAAGTTAGCCGCAGTTGATGGGATGTGACTCCCGGGATTCCAGGCAGCAATGCTGGGCCCTTACAGTCTCATTTCCAGAGCATCAGAGCTGCCAAGGGCCGGGGTTCCCTAAGGAGATCTCACCTCCCTGGATCTGGGAACAGCGTCACGGTGCCTGGGATCTGGGCAGGTGCGTGGTACAGTCCTCACTAGCACACAATGTGGGTCTCCACGGGGCTACCTTCTTTTACGCCCCCGATGACCACTCCCCGGGCAGAGGGTCTGCCCCGTCACTTCAACCCCAGGTGCTGCCTCGTCTCACGTCATCCATGCTGCCCCTGTGGTCACCCCATCCTGCAGATGAGGAAGCTGAGTCCTAGAAAGCTCAAGGGACTTCAAGGAGCACTCATGGGCACTGTCTCTCTGGGGGTGATGTTGCTCCCAGCCTTTCCATCCTATGAAGAACTCTCTTTAAATCTCAAGTTACCATTCTCTGAGGGAGGAGATGACAGCAGCTGTTAGACACCCACAGCGCGGAGAGGAGAAACCTCTCGTCCGAGGATGCACTGTTTAAAAGAAAAATGCACAGCAAGTCTGAACGGTACCTCTGCAAAGGTGCGATTCAGACCAGGCTCTCTGGAGAGTGGGATGCTTCTGCAAAGAGGGAGACTGTGCTTTCCAGCATTTCACGCAGAATGCTAAGTCGCCGAGGGGCTCTGACAGGTACCCTATCCTGTTCAGAAACCCAGTGAGCTTCCCATACCTGGCTGGTGCTGCCTGGCTTTCAGGCATGAGAGTGGGGAAAAGGCTTAGAGTCGAGTCAGACCCTGGGACTCAGGACGGTGGGTGAGCCCAGCAGCCCCCAGCTCCAGATGGGCTGAAAGGGAACACATGCCATTGAGCTGTTTGAGGAGAACACTGTTCTTCTTCTAATCAGTCCCTCAGCTTGTAACAGCACGGAGTGAACGGAGCAGGCCGGGACAGCGCTCTGCACAACCACTGGTTTCAATGTGCGCTCAGACCTGCCTTCTGTAAGTGCTTCGCACTCAGGAAACCGGCACCAGAGCAGAAAAGGCTGGACTCCTCCCGGATTCACTGTTCGGCTGAAATATTGTCTCATCCCGAAGCTGTGAAAATGCCTGGCTTCCCTTCTTGCCTCACGCACTGTCAATGATTCCCTTCCTGTTTGCACTCAGTGGTTCCTCAGATTGCTGAAACGGGCACCAGCTTCCTAGAGACATTGGAGCTCGAGCTTTTGTTAATTTTCCAAAAAGAAAGGGAAATAATCATTCTCGAACTTGAACACCTGAGCTGGGCTTACCCCCACCAGAGCTCATTCTCTTCCTGATTCAACTGTGGACCCATCAGCTGCGGCTTCAAAATGGCAGCACAGAGCTCAGACCCCAAAGATTCCCTTCCCCTCCTAACAAGTAACAGAATCCTCGTTCCCACCTGCCTGGCGCACGATGGCCGTATCATCTGTGCATTCACACTCACGGCTGTGATTTCCTGGCTGCTTTTGTGTATTAGGCACTGGCCTAACTGCCCAAAAAAGGGCTACACGGTCCTGATATTGGGCTCCATCTGTGATCACATCTGTTTCTGGGAAGAGCAGAGCTGGAGTTGTTCTCAATCCTTCTAGTCCTTATTGCCCAGAGCCTGGGAAAAACCAGCCTTATGCGCCACCCCCACCCCTACACGGGAGCAACGCGCTGGACCAACGTCATGAACATTGAGACCTGATGTGATCTTACCATGGAAGTCATGGCCATTGGTGCTGCGGGGGCGGGAGGGGGACGGGGATCGGAAAATTCCTGTTTCCTTATCTAAGTGCCTCTCTGTAGCAGACGATACTCAAATGACACAGACTGAAAGACGAGAATCTGTTAAAAAAAAAAGGAACAGAAAATTATGTCTGTTTCAAGTTGCCTTTTAATCATTCTGTTCTTTTTTATTCTGTGTTGAGACTGAACATAACACTTGACAGATACAGACACTATGCACTAATACACCATGCGCACAGTGCAAATGTGAAACAAGATACGGCTCTCCACAGCGCTTAGGATCTAATCAGATAGATAAGAAACACACACACACAACACAAGGGGTAATGAAGCGCATGACAGTGATGACCTGGGCTAGGTATATCCCCGCAGTGATGGAGGAGGGCGATCAGCTGGTCTAAAGACACGAGGAGGAGGCTGGAGAAGATACAATTATCCAGAACTGGGAAAACAATGAGCATCTGTTGGCAAGGCTGGATTCTCAGGCAGTCCCCTTCTACGACTGAGCCTCATTTTCCGTGGTGAGCCACCCATCTCATCGTTCTGTGTGTTTAGCGGGGCTGCTCACTTTCCTGGATCTAAGATAATCATGTGATCCACGCCTGGCTAACTGCATCATCAAGGTCCTCACCAGAGACAGACTCAGGGACAGACATGTCGTGAGCTCTGGGTGCCACCCCTGACCAAGGGTCCGGCCGACCCAAGGGCACTCGCCCAGGTGGAGGCCTCAGCCTGGCTCCTCCCTGCAGCAGGAGGAAAGTGAGCAGAGGGAAAGGTTTCTCCTGGCTGCAGGCCTGGAGCCTCAAAGCTGGAGCCCTCCAGGGGCTTCTGGTGGCAGAGTCAGCTTCAGGCAACCTCTTGAGTATCAGATTTAATCGCTTTGAAAAGAAGCTTCCTGGAGCTTCCCTGGCCTGAAAAACGTGCCTGCTTTAAATGTTAAATGAAACAAGTATATTAGAGAAAGTCAGGAACAGACGGGACAGGGTACCCGAGCACCGGCAGATCACAGAGGGGACATGGTACCCGAGCACCGGCAGATCACAGAGGGGACAGGGTACCCGAGCACCGGCAGATCACAGACGGGACAGGGTACCCGAGCACCGGCAGATCACAGAGGGGACATGGTACCCGAGCACCGGCAGATCACAGACGGGACAGGGTACCCGAGCACCGGCAGATCACAGACGGGACAGGGTACCCGAGCACCGGCAGATCACAGACGGGACAGGGTACCCGAGCACCGGCAGATCACAGACGGGACATGGTACCCGAGCACCGGCAGATCACAGACGGGACAGGGTACCCGAGCACCGGCAGATCACAGACGGGACATGGTACCCGAGCACCGGCAGATCACAGACGGGACAGGGTACCCGAGCACCGGCAGATCACAGAGGGGACATGGTACCCGAGCACCGGCAGATCACAGAGGGGACATGGTACCCGAGCACCGGCAGATCACAGAGGGGACAGGGTACCCGAGCACCGGCAGATCACAGAGGGCACATGGTACCCGAGCACCGGCAGATCACAGAGGGGACAGGGTACCCGAGCACCGGCAGATCACAGAGGGGACAGGGTACCCGAGCACCGGCAGATCACAGAGGGGACAGGGTACCCGAGCACCGGCAGATCACAGAGGGGACAGGGTACCCGAGCACCGGCAGATCACAGAGGGCACATGGTACCCGAGCACCGGCAGATCACACAGGGGACATGGTACCCGAGCACCGGCAGATCACAGAGGGGACAGGGTACCCGAGCACCGGCAGATCACAGAGGGGACAGGGTACCCGAGCACCGGCAGATCACAGAGGGGACATGGTACCCGAGCACCGGCAGATCACAGAGGGGACATGGTACCCGAGCACCGGCAGATCACAGAGGGGACAGGGTACCCGAGCACCGGCAGATCACAGAGGGGACATGGTACCCGAGCACCGGCAGATCACAGAGGGCACATGGTACCCGAGCACCGGCAGATCACAGAGGGGACATGGTACCCGAGCACCGGCAGATCACACAGGGGACATGGTACCCGAGCACCGGCAGATCACAGAGGGGACAGGGTACCCGAGCACCGGCAGATCACAGAGGGGACAGGGTACCCGAGCACCGGCAGATCACAGAGGGCACATGGTACCCGAGCACCGGCAGATCACAGAGGGGACATGGTACCCGAGCACCGGCAGATCACAGAGGGCACATGGTACCCGAGCACCGGCAGATCACAGAGGGGACATGGTACCCGAGCACCGGCAGATCACAGACGGGACATGGTACCCGAGCACCGGCAGATCACAGAGGGGACAGGGTACCCGAGCACCGGCAGATCACAGAGGGCACATGGTACCCGAGCACCGGCAGATCACAGAGGGGACAGGGTACCCGAGCACCGGCAGATCACAGAGGGGACAGGGTACCCGAGCACCGGCAGATCACAGAGGGGACATGGTACCCGAGCACCGGCAGATCACAGAGGGGACAGGGTACCCGAGCACCGGCAGATCACAGAGGGCACATGGTACCCGAGCACCGGCAGATCACAGAGGGCACATGGTACCCGAGCACCGGCAGATCACAGAGGGGACAGGGTACCCGAGCACCGGCAGATCACAGAGGGCACATGGTACCCGAGCACCGGCAGATCACACAGGGGACATGGTACCCGAGCACCGGCAGATCACAGAGGGGACATGGTACCCGAGCACCGGCAGATCACAGACGGGACATGGTACCCGAGCACCGGCAGATCACAGAGGGCACATGGTACCCGAGCACCGGCAGATCACAGAGGGGACAGGGTACCCGAGCACCGGCAGATCACAGAGGGGACAGGGTACCCGAGCACCGGCAGATCACAGAGGGGACAGGGTACCCGAGCACCGGCAGATCACAGAGGGCACATGGTACCCGAGCACCGGCAGATCACAGAGGGCACATGGTACCCGAGCACCGGCAGATCACAGAGGGGACAGGGTACCCGAGCACCGGCAGATCACAGAGGGCACATGGTACCCGAGCACCGGCAGATCACACAGGGGACATGGTACCCGAGCACCGGCAGATCACAGAGGGGACATGGTACCCGAGCACCGGCAGATCACAGAGGGGACAGGGTACCCGAGCACCGGCAGATCACAGAGGGCACATGGTACCCGAGCACCGGCAGATCACAGAGGGGACAGGGTACCCGAGCACCGGCAGATCACAGAGGGGACAGGGTACCCGAGCACCGGCAGATCACAGAGGGGACAGGGTACCCGAGCACCGGCAGATCACAGAGGGGACAGGGTACCCGAGCACCGGCAGATCACAGAGGGCACATGGTACCCGAGCACCGGCAGATCACACAGGGGACATGGTACCCGAGCACCGGCAGATCACAGAGGGGACAGGGTACCCGAGCACCGGCAGATCACAGAGGGGACAGGGTACCCGAGCACCGGCAGATCACAGAGGGGACATGGTACCCGAGCACCGGCAGATCACAGAGGGGACATGGTACCCGAGCACCGGCAGATCACAGAGGGGACAGGGTACCCGAGCACCGGCAGATCACAGAGGGGACATGGTACCCGAGCACCGGCAGATCACAGAGGGCACATGGTACCCGAGCACCGGCAGATCACAGAGGGGACATGGTACCCGAGCACCGGCAGATCACACAGGGACATGGTACCCGAGCACCGGCAGATCACAGAGGGGACAGGGTACCCGAGCACCGGCAGATCACAGAGGGGACAGGGTACCCGAGCACCGGCAGATCACAGAGGGCACATGGTACCCGAGCACCGGCAGATCACAGAGGGGACATGGTACCCGAGCACCGGCAGATCACAGAGGGCACATGGTACCCGAGCACCGGCAGATCACAGAGGGGACATGGTACCCGAGCACCGGCAGATCACAGACGGGACATGGTACCCGAGCACCGGCAGATCACAGAGGGGACAGGGTACCCGAGCACCGGCAGATCACAGAGGGCACATGGTACCCGAGCACCGGCAGATCACAGAGGGGACAGGGTACCCGAGCACCGGCAGATCACAGAGGGGACAGGGTACCCGAGCACCGGCAGATCACAGAGGGGACATGGTACCCGAGCACCGGCAGATCACAGAGGGGACATGGTACCCGAGCACCGGCAGATCACAGAGGGCACATGGTACCCGAGCACCGGCAGATCACAGAGGGCACATGGTACCCGAGCACCGGCAGATCACAGAGGGGACAGGGTACCCGAGCACCGGCAGATCACAGAGGGCACATGGTACCCGAGCACCGGCAGATCACACAGGGGACATGGTACCCGAGCACCGGCAGATCACAGAGGGGACATGGTACCCGAGCACCGGCAGATCACAGACAGGACATGGTACCCGAGCACCGGCAGATCACAGAGGGCACATGGTACCCGAGCACCGGCAGATCACAGAGGGGACAGGGTACCCGAGCACCGGCAGATCACAGAGGGGACAGGGTACCCGAGCACCGGCAGATCACAGAGGGGACAGGGTACCCGAGCACCGGCAGATCACAGAGGGCACATGGTACCCGAGCACCGGCAGATCACAGAGGGCACATGGTACCCGAGCACCGGCAGATCACAGAGGGGACAGGGTACCTGAGCACCGGCAGATCACAGAGGGCACATGGTACCCGAGCACCGGCAGATCACACAGGGGACATGGTACCCGAGCACCGGCAGATCACAGAGGGGACATGGTACCCGAGCACCGGCAGATCACAGACAGGACATGGTACCCGAGCACCGGCAGATCACAGAGGGCACATGGTACCCGAGCACCGGCAGATCACAGAGGGGACAGGGTACCCGAGCACCGGCAGATCACAGAGGGGACATGGTACCCGAGCACCGGCAGATCACACAGGGGACATGGTACCCGAGCACCGGCAGATCACAGAGGGGACATGGTACCCGAGCACCGGCAGATCACAGAGGGGACATGGTACCCGAGCACCGGCAGATCACAGACGGGACATGGTACCCGAGCACCGGCAGATCACAGAGGGGACATGGTACCCGAGCACCGGCAGATCACAGACGGGACATGGTACCCGAGCACCGGCAGATC